TTAGAGTTTTCTTTCTTTAAGCAGGTCAGTATAATTACAATTCAATAAAATCTTTTATTAAACTTCCTTCGCCGCTTTAAGGGCACAATATACCAGCAATCATTGCCCCCTTCCATTTCAGTATACAGTCTGTATTTTAAACGAGAAACATCGAAAGATCAGATTTTCCTCAGATCTTTATTATCAGTGGAAAAATGTATTATATCTTCCCACTCGTTAAGTAAATAAAATATGTTGCTGTTTTTTTTGGGGGGTAGTGATGTTATGGTTGTATGTAAACGCGTGACTAAGGCGTTTTAAATGTCAGTGTTTTAATAGTATTATCTATAATGGTTCTTGATCGTAAGTAATAATCTTATACAACGCCATATTTTTAAAGAATCGTAATAATTTAAGTTCATTATGTAGCTTACATAAAAAAATAATTAATTTTTTAACCACTGTATCTGGAGTACGACCATTCCCACCAACGAATTTAGTTCACCTTCTGCGAAATTATAACAACATCAAAATCTGAAAACTCGCTTCGATATTATCTCTTCGTCAGTGAACATTTTCTCCTTATTATGAAGTACAAAATTCGTATTCCCAATGAATTCACAGAACAATAACAGTTGAACTGTATTATTTCCAATTAAATTAAATTAAAGACTAATTAAACTCTGACTTTCTTCGCTTTATGTTCCATATAAGGCACTAGCGTTTAACGAACGACAATAAACAGCATCACGCTTTTGAATGTCGACATTCAAGAGAAAACTTCAAATAAACTTGCCTCTGTTGATTTTTTTTAATACGATATGAATGGTGGTAATTAATGATGCAAACTTTCGACAGTCAGTGCAATTGTAGATTGAAATTTGGAAACGCATATAGACCTTTAAATATTATAAATGTTTAGTGAAATTACGTCAGTCCATCTCTTCCTCAATGAGATATCTACAAGAATATTATACATAATTTTAAATATAAAAATGTTATTTAACGCAAATCAAGCGAGTGAACTTTTCTCAATGCCACGAATAACGAAGATATGTCAATCCCACATAAAATACCTAACTGGATTTGATAGAACAGCCTCACTGTTCAATTCATCAACATGAATTTGGTGAAATCGGGCATGTCAAGGGGATATTAATTCGCCTAATTCAGACTGATTACATATTATTCGTATTTTAATTTCTTAATTACACGTATAGTATTCGTGTATACAAACGTGCTTTACGTAAAAAATAAAATTTCGTATTAAATAATGAGATAAAACTGTGATGAACTCAATGACCATGGGTCTGCATGACGCAAATTTCAGTTACGTTAATTGTATTAGGGATGTTTGCCCAATACTTAAACATTCTCTCATTAACGCACGATTTTTGTTAACTAAAGTTTTATAAAAAGCAATCACAAATGTTGGGTTCAACAAATGCTCATCACAGACCGCCAAGAATTACGTACAGTTTTCCAGTTTACAAGTTATAGAATAACGGTCCCCACACGAAACGAGATAGTTGGAACTGTATCACGGTTAACAAATTGAGTCTAGAGCCGTAAATATGAGTGCATAATAACTGTAAAAATTTGTAGAATAAAATAACTGTTCTTACACTTCAGTTATTTTCAGATAGTTTCAAGTAACAACATATTTCGTTTTTGGAATTTTGCGACACTGACTCCAACTGTCTATAAAGTTCTGCAATATGAGTAGTCTGAATTTTCACAAAACGATATAAATACAGATCTCTGAACGTAGAAAATAAGTTTAAAATGTTGAATTGCCATAATTAGGAATTTTATTTAGAGTACACTGCTTCTTTTCTGGATGTATCATTTGAATATATTTTGCAGTTTCGCCTTCAGTGCCAGTAACTGGTTAGTTTAACTCTCAAAATGGCGACACAGAAGACAACGAGGCAGAGGGCCTTGTCTTGAAGTCTACTCCAGTCACTAGTTATCTGTTCATTTCCGAAACATTTATAGTAACAACAAGAAAAATGGATCTGAAGTTACTGAATAAATCGACAAGATACAGGGATTATCGCAGTTCTGGGCAAGTTCTTACAAATAAAGTGTATCGATTTTCACAAAAATGCATAAAATTGTGATTTTAGAATTTAAATATTAACTAAAGACTGTAAACTAGCAACCAGATACCTGTTATATTTTTTTTAGGGTTTAGCCCTTTAAAGCTCGTTAACCTAAAGGGCACAGAATGTAAAGGAAATTAATTTCTTCTCGTAAGGAAACATTACGTGTCTCTATCAGAGAAATCAGTTGGTCAATGCATTTCTCGGAAATTATTGCTGTGTATTCAGTCATAGGAATCACATAAAACATCTGTGGTCAAAAAGTAGTTATTAAATGATAAATCAAATGGTACATATATTTACCACTGTGATTTAAATGTTAAGAGACAAGCATGTCACGTGGTTTATGTACCAGCTTGATATATCGATATATTAACTTTATATAATGGTTTCAGAAATAAGCCTACCTTTCATATCCTAACAAAAACGCTGACAAAATGAAATTATCAGTAATAAATTACTGGGTGGTGAGTCAATATTTTGTTTTAAATACGACAGGTCGGCCTAATTCGATAAATCGAACAAGGGCTTCAGTTAGAGTGGGGATTTGCAGGTCCAAAATGTCCTGACAACAGACAAAATAAAAACAAATCTGAGACTTGAGATTCTATTGGCGGTGAGGATGTCGATTTTGGTTTGCTATGTTGTCGTCTTGTGGGTGTTTCCTGTGTTCTAGAGGAATGCAATGCATCCAACTTTAGGAAATACCACAATCAATACAATAACTAATGTATTTTTATGTCTTAAAACAAGATTTTGTGATTTTGTAATTTATAAATCTAAATCTATTAATTTGGATAATTTATTTTTCAGAACATTTCCCCCCACGTACAATGACACTATCAAATGTCTTATCTATTCTGCAGCTTCTTAAATTTTTGTGCAACTGTTTAATCGCCACGTGAAGCTAATTTTATCCTTCCTGTATAGGCCTATATCCAGAACAGTGGCTAAATAGAAAACAAATTAATGTAGTAAGTCCATAGTAAATTTTTCCGACGTGGAACTCGACTGCTTCTCGCTTAAAATTAAGATTAGTTTAAAACTTTTGCTGTATTAGCGGATCTGGCAAATGCAAAATTTTTGTATAAACTTCACCTAGTTAGTCGGTAACACTTCACAGGCCTACAGCGCCGTAATTGTATTGCTTAAAACGAAACGTACAAGCAAACAAATTAGATTATTGTACATGTTAATTAAAAATAAAAAAAACTGTTTCGACAATGTCAAATTTGTGACTTTCTTGCAACCCACAGACTTACGGTGCATGTGTGGATATTTTACGATACTATTAAAATTTAAAACTGCTAGCGTGTTGCCTGTGACCTACAGAATCACTATGTCCTAGCAACATCCCAACTGCTGCTAAGAGTGAAATTGTGAGTTACTTGCTAAGTGTTCAATATTTCTACTTAAATCATAAAATCTGGGTGAAATAGCACAATTTGCAAATTTAGTTTGTTTAATTATACA